ATTTTCTGGGAAAAGGAGGGCTTCTGAGGTAAAGTTCCGATTGATCATCCCCGGGATCCTTACTTAGAGGTAGATAGCAGATAGTGTTTCCGGATTTCAATTAAACAGATGCAATATTTTGCTTTCTAGTATGATTTGTAGAAAAAGAGTTGTGTAGTTGAAAAGATATGAATGAAGTGGTTGAGCAGTCTTGATAAATAAAGAGATGAAGTTGAATTACTGAAAAGAGATATATCAATAAAAGCTGTAATCGGCAACAACTTACATCAATTTAATATTAACAATCAAACTACTTTCTTTGTTTCAAGATTATATTCCTGCAAGTCGCTGAAATCTATATCACAAATTTATCAGAGTTCCATCAAATTTCCAAAAATGAACATTACTATGAACTCTGCTTTACTAGATCTTTCTGAACTCTCTCATCTGATAAATTTGATGCGACAAATTGCTGATTTCAAAAGAAATCTGATATTGATATTTTTTAACTATAGAATGAATATAATAGCAGTAATAGAGACTACCAGACAGATGAGAAGGAGTCAAACTCATCTCCAACATTTAATGATCTGTCAAAGAGACGTCGCTGAACTCAGCACTCAGATGTAGAAGTGTATGAAAAGGAAATTCAGTCAACAAAGCAACAGCTCCATTTGAAGACGAAATGAATATATTTTCTCTCATTTGTCAAAGATAACTTGAATCAGACAGTTGCAAGTGTAATGAAAATGAAGAATAAAACTTCGTATATATTTTCATCAAGCAGAACTATGATACTTGATGTGATAAAGACTAGAAAGTCAAGAACTTTCAAAGAAATGAAGGCAAGTAATATTCCCACTCAGTATTTAGAATTTAACGAAAATAACAATCTTTCAGCGGAATATCTTAAGGAAATCTTAACTTTTCAGCAGAATATCTTAAATCCTTGATGGGAAATATCAATCTATCATCAGAAAATATCAAGTTTCTGATGGGAAATCTTGATCTGTCAGTGGAAATCTTAATCTGTCAGTGGAAATCTTGATCTGTCAGTGGAAATCTTGATCTGTCAGCAGGATATCTTAAACCTCTGATGGGAAATATCAATCTTTCAGTGGGATATAACAAGTTCTCAATGGGAGATCATAAACTTCTAATGGGAATTCAGCGGGGAATCTTAGAAGAATCTTAACTTTTCAACAGCATATCTTAGAAGAATCTTAATTTTTCAGTGAAATATCAAAAATTTTCTGACCAATTTAGCTAATCAATTATTAATATAGAATCATGTTCAACGGGAAAAGGCAAAGAGTAGAGAAAGTTCAATGGTAATCGGATTGCATAATTGTTATGAAGAATTAACAATATTTGAATACTTTTGTAATTCATTTACCATTGAAAAGTTCTTTCTGATTTTTTATTAAATGTGAGAAGTTATCGACTTTGATCGATCCTCTGAGCAAGAACAATGGTATATGAAACATAAGTTGAATTATCATAATTCAAATCAGTCAAAAAATATTGAATCAGAAAATTAAAAACTGATTTTGAATAATAGAAATATATACAAATCTGACAACTTAGGTCAAAATATTTGATGATGTTGACAAAAACAAAAATCTCATTGCAGTTATAATGTAATAGTAAAATATCCTGATATTTTGAGATCTGATGGGCGATATTTGTGAATATTGACAAATGATCAAAGATGACTTTGCAGAGGCAATTTAGAATACTCCAACAGTCAAAAAAAGATGTTTGATGAAAGATGCACGGGAGGAGGTGCGGAAAAAGGTGAAATTTTCAGAGACACTTTTAGTGAAAGACAGATTAGTGATATAGAGAGTTCAGTGATATGAAGAGTTCTGATAAAACCCATTTTTATTTCAATATATTTAATTTTCTATAAGTTTTATATATAAATTAGTTAATATATACTTTAATATATATAATTAGAACTTACTGCCTTGATATTCACTGATGAAAATTGTCATATTCTCTATCTTGAAATTTGTATAATTATGGCTGCAGAAAATTCACTGATTTCAACACATCAGAAAATCTTTTTATTCATATTGAATTCTGTAGATATATTTCTGACAATGCTGTGAACACTTGTTTTTAGTTAATAAAAGTGATTTTATATTCAAAATAGCTGTAATTTATTCAGTGATAGCCTGCGCAGAAAGGATTTGTTCTGAAAATAATATATGAATAGAATTTGTCAGATGTATCAATTGCATTCAGAAGTTTTCTGAAATATGAAAGCATTTGTTACATAGCAACACTTAAAAGAATCAACAATGTATATAAAGAGGATGTCAACTTGTTATTCGTCTTCTCCTTTCTTTCTTTTTTCTTTCTTCTCGCAATGATATCACAATGTGAACATCGACTTATCAGCTCACTCAGCCCTTCCCATCTTCAGCAAGGTTAGTATCCTGTCAGTTGCAATAGAAAACTTTAAAAATCAAAAATTCTAATATCAAAATACCTTATCTGCACAGTATATCAAGAACATCGGCGATCTATTGTGTCATTTATCGTGTCAGAAAGGCAAAGCAACAACAACAACAGCAGAATCAAAATGATTAGTGATATTTTCAAGCATACATATACAACTGCTATAAAAATTCAAGAGAAAGAGATTAGTCATCTGAATACCCTGATAAAGCAGTCTGACAAATGAATGATTTGTGAACATTGCATTGAATATATTTTCCCCCATCATCTCAATGCTACTTGCAATAAGGTTGAGGGAAATGCAAAGCTGTGTACAAATTGCAATCATGAGAAGAAGAGATATGCAGTTTACTTTGATGAATTCAAAAGTGAAATTGATAACTTGATCTGAACCTATGAATTTTACCTTGCTGCGTCAAATGATTTCAAGGAATCGATCAAGGCAATGATGTCAGAGAAGGCGAAGGATCTATTTAAATGAATTAAAAAAATCAAAGCTCACTGACAGAAAGCTGAATCTCAGCAAATGAAGAGTGTAACAATTATCTTGAAAGTCTCAAATGCCACTTTCAGTGCCACTGAAAAAGCCAAAATCAAGATTGAAAAGATCAAGCTTGACATTGAAAAGGCGAAATTGAAAATCAAGAGGAAACAAGTTGTTGTAGAAAGGGAAAAAGTCACTGTATGTATGTATGTATGTATGTATGTATAGGTTTAACGTCCCGGAGAAAACACGGGCAGCGCCCGTGTTTCAGAAGCCTCCCGAAGGGCATGGAGACGTGCTACGCTGGAGAGATTTCTATGTACACAGAGAGAGAAAACAGAATCCAGGTGGCAACTCTTGAGAAGACTTAGCTCATTGCAAAGGATTTTTCTGAGCTGCGCATTCACTTCTGGCCCGACGTATGGCCATTCATGGTGGGGCTATAATGTGGTTCCTTGAGGGAACCGCCGCTGCCGTGCCTGGAAGAAAAAGTCACTGCAGAAAGGGAAAAGATCATTATAAAAAAAGTAAAATTCAAAATTGAAACAATCAAACTTGCAATACAGTATAAAATTATGACAATTGTAATCAGTCACTATAAAGATCAAAAAATGGCAATTGAGAATCTCATAAATTTGATTAACAGAGTTGATTCTGAAGCTGAACACATTGTCATTGAAATGTATGAAACAATGAACCATGTTCAAAGATTTGCAAATGCTCTTGATGAAGATATGATTGTAGTGAGCAGCAGTAAAAGCAGTGATGAGGAATTTAATAATAGTGACAATTCTCTTCCGATCTCTCTCACTGACACCTTTGCTGCTGCTGCTGCCATTGATCCTCCCCCCTTCTTCTCCTCCAATCTTTCAACCCCAGTTAATCCCCTGGCTATGAGCAGCACCGGAACTGTTGACATTCTCAGTGAAAATGTAAGTTGGAATCGGCGATATGATTCCTAGATTTATGCAGAAGTTGATAATTATATAGAAGAGCAAACACAAGACTTTCAAACCCTCTGAAACCCTCTTTTTCAAACATCAGATGACAGTTGACAGTGCCTTCCATCCACAAATTCAATGATGTGGTTGATGAGAATATGACTGGGAATGAGGACTTTGAAAGAAATATGGTTCGGGCGATCCGGGAGGAATTAGATAGAGATGTGGGTGATTTCCACTAGGGGATGATTCCAGTGAAGGGGATGTTTTTTAGAATTAGTGGTTATGTAGATAGGAATCGGCGACATCACCAATACAACGATTATTTTTTTTCTGTTCAGAACTTGTTTACCGTGATTCCACGGCTTATCCACCATTATATTAAGATTTACAGTTCGGGCGACGGTGTCGCCGACTGGCACGGTGGAACAACCATAATCCGGCCGTATAATAACCCTACGTTTTTCCGGTATGGTTTTGGTTCAAGTCAAACATCCGAGTAATCTTGTCGACCGATAAGCCTAACTAACTACCGTATTTTGCACCACTCCCATGGGAATTGATCCATCAATTAATCAATTGTGTGTAGATTGGCCCTCCTAACTAACTAGCTAGTTAGTTACCTGCCAGCATTGGGCAGGATTACATACATAAATTACCAAAGGCGCACACAACCTTTTTCCGTTGCGACGCCCATGCAGCTGAGAGGCTGAGAGGAAAGTTATTATATAGTTAATCTCTCGCACCTCGCTTTTCGTTTGACTTGACTTCCTGATTACGTATCCGGATTCAACCTTAAAACCAACTATAACCTTGGAACGATTGCTTAACCAGCCCGAGATATACAAACCCATGAAAGTACCAACAGGAATTTTATTGATATTGTTACGTGGAACATCAGCTTCGTATTTACGCCTTGCAATTTATGAATCGTGTGCTAGACAGAAACATTGCAGCACTGAGGGGGTAGAGAGGGCTCTAATCTCTCGTCAAACGCCGGAAGTTTAGATCTCATTTTCGGTTGATTTGCGTTTTTGTACTTCTATTCAACCTCCTATTCTCTCCCCTGCTTCCAACATCCCAATAGGAAAATGTAGAAACCATAAAAGCTTCCGGATAAGATGAAAGCTCATGTAGATGAAAAAAAGGGGGGAACTGGCAGTGTGATTGTCTTCAATCAATCAATCCCCTCATCATCGTCCTCGTCGTTTTGGTCATCACTGCCAAATATGGCTTTGAACACTGCATCGCCAGGCCTCGCTGCCTCCAGTGCCTCGTTTCGCCCAGGATCAACAAAAACATCTTCCTTTTTCAGGTGTTGCTGTTCGAGCTGCTGCTGCTGCTGCTGCTGCTGCTCACCTTCAGCTCCAACTATGCCTGCACTTCCTATCGCTTCAACAGCTCCTGCTCCCATAAGAATCCGATTCACAGCCTCCTTAGATAAGATATCCAACTTAGAGCCAGATGGCGCGGTAGGGCTCCGACTGGGAGCCCCATAACCGTGACCGCCAGGGATATCACCCGTGTCAAAAGAGATGTTTGCTGGGGGCCGGACGTTGAAACGTTTACAAAGAAGTCTAAAGGGGAGAGAAAGGAACAGATGATCGCGTCAGGGGGCCGTACATGCCGATTTTCGCAGCTGCTTCGGCGGGATCTTGAGGTTTTGGATCTGGTCTGCGAATGAGGGTCTCATGTTGGGCATTATCTGCTCTTTCTGTTTTGATGTGGTGTGCTCGGAGACGTCGAAGAATTGGAGGAGTGAGCGGGAAGCCATCAAACCCGACATCGGCTTGAACACTTCCGCGGCACGCGCGAATTCTTGCAGCTCGATGACCCAGTTATCTGTCGATGCGTCCGGTGCGCGGTCGGGGAGCTTGTCCCGTAGGCCCGCGCGGACTTCGAGGAATGAACGGTATCGTGATCGCTTGGCTTCGTCTTCCGCGTAAGGCATCCAGCCACAAATCCCACGATTAAGGGCTTGTGTCGCGAGGTCTTTGTCCAATTTTGGCACGAGGTTCCAAAGGTCTTTTTGGTTTGGAGCCTCTCTGGTTTCGAAACTTTCTGGTCCCTTCTCCCCAAGGGCTGAGGGTAGGTCAGTGCGTCCTGTAGCTTTAGCAATCTTTTCACGCCCTGCTGGAGTCATGTAGTCGAACACTGATTTACCCGGTAATTGGTCTTCACCCAGTAGTGCAGCTCTCGATGTAGGATCTAGGGATGATGTCTTTGCAGTTTCAGCATGTGACATATAATTTTGGATTGGCCCTGGGCGAGATGGCTCTTTCGTGGGCTTCCAATCTTTTGGAATTTCTGGTGCCGCATACTTTTTCTCATGTGAGGAGATGGTCGAACATGCGATATTTATACCGTGAAGGAATCCATCCAGTGGTAGGCGTCCATCGTGACATTTTCTGAATCCTGCTTTTGTCTTCTCAACTGCTGCTTTTTTCTTCGAGATAAAAACCGGCTTGGTGCTGCCTAATAGTGGATTTGAGAGCCCCATTGACGGCTTCATTGAAGAACTGTTGTTGCTGGTTATTTTCTTTGCTTTCTTGTCATAATCGATAAATCGATTATAGGAAATCTGCGGGCCCATTTCATAGGGATCATCGTCATCAGAACCAGTATCGTTTAGAACTCCAACGCCAAAGCCTCCCCTTCTAGGTTGTTTTGACTTTGGAGAGGCGTTTCCATTTCTCGGGAGTTTAGGGCCAGCGAATTCATCGAAATTTCCCCTCGGAGTCAAGGCTCTTCGGTTAGTTCCTGCATCCAGCCCTTGTGGTTACATTGAGCCGAGCTTCACCTTCATATCCAAGACCTTTATAGTCACTTTTCTTCAAGAACATTATTGTTGGAAGGTTAGCCGGTGCAAAGAAATGGACTCCACACTGTTCATCAGCTGCATCGCCAAGGTCTGCTTTTCGTCGCACTTTCGGGCCGATTCCTTGTCCCTCCTTCCAGCCCATTCGTTTCAGTAGCTTGACGCCAATTGTATCCCCAGCGGTTTTGAAAAGATCCATGAAACCACCTAACCGCGTGGTATCAGCGGCCGTCGAGCCAAAGCCAGTATAATCCCCAGCTGTTTGAAGCCTCCTTGCATTTTCCGCTTCGAGCAGATCCTCCTCATCCATAAAGTCTTCTGGTCTTTGTTGTGGAGTTTGTTGCTTCGCATCTTTTGCGCGATTGCGACGGGAAGATACAAAGGTCGATGGAGTCCAGCCCTCCTTCGAACCGACTGTATTGAAATACCTATATGTAAACCGATTTAATTTAGCTGATCTGTGCTCGGCCCAGTCAATGATGAGCTCACCCAGCACTGAATCCTCCAGTGAAGGCGCCATGAAGACGTTTCCTTCCCTGGTCATCCCGCACCTCCTGCTTCCAAACCGGGATATAGGAGTCATCGTCGCGAACTTCAGGGTCAAGGGGGGGTAAGGGAGTGCCGTATATGGCGTAGGGAGCGTGGAAATGCTCGTATTCAAAAGTAGCTCTCGATCTCTTTGTAGCCATGCTTGTCGTCACAGTCATTTGACATTGCTTTATGCCTCTTTAGAGGGTCCACTGTGATGAAATTTGAGTTTCCCCCAGAGTTTGCTCGCGAATCTTCACCGACTATGGAAATGAACCAATCAGCTTCAACCGCTGCGAGCAACGACTGTTGGGGCGAGTTAATACGGGGCTCCCGAGATAATCAAGTGTAGGGGAATTGTGAGGGCAAGAGGAGTTGTGATATCCAAAGTCGTGTGCATGGCATCCACAGAATCAGAGTACAAAGTAATCTGTACAGTCAACCAACCTGGCCACACCTGTACCGCCATAACTAACGGGCTCATGTACTGTAACAAGGTGCGTGACTAATCTAGGAGTCGGACGAAGGCGGGGCTAAGTGAGATTGGCATCCATGACCAGGACCAAGAAGGACAACGAAAAACAACGCATCTGATCGGAGGTGATAGATTTCCAAGGTTGTCTGCCTGACTTTCTCCCAGGGAAGATGAATGTTCTCCAACCATCTTATCAATCTCTTGATAGCGGCCGTCATTTTGTTCGCTTCCTGCCAGCCAGCCAGCCATCCAGCCATCCAGGTAAACAACTCGAAACAGAACTTTGGAGTCCCATGGTACGTGATACCAGATAGAATACGACTTGGCCTTCACCCGTATCCACAACATACAACTTACAGAACGTAGACTACCCCCATCAAAGACCGTTCAACAACCAGTCCATTAAAAAGTGAGTGATCCGGACTCTAGATTTTTCATCTCAACGGCTGTGTCCTGGGTGGTAATGTGCGGTTGTTTCATGTATCCTTTTATCATTTATCGATCAATAGAAAGCTACCGGGACACATCCACGTATTAATTACGTGTACTGTCATCCAGTTACCGCCACTCGCAAGAAGCAACCATCGCGCTATTCTGCATGACTACCGACCTCTCAGAATCTCCTCCGACTTCTGTCCTCTGCCATTCCGCGGCCAGACATCTGGCTTGTTGCTTGGTTGGTGGAAACTCTGCTTCTTCTCCTGTGCTACTTGCTAATTGCGGACCACAGCTCCCACCCCCTATAGAAGAAGCATTGCGCAGGGGTTACTTCCTCGCGGCTTGGAGTGGCTTGAGCCTCCTCCCCGTCCAGCTTTCAACAACATAGATCGCCATCAAAACAAAGACAACCGCGAATCAGAGCCACTCGTATAACCCTTCCTCTCTGCCCATCAGAAGTGAAGCGATTTTGCCATTTCCCTGCTCCTCCGGCCTGTGACCTTAGACGTGATCGCGATGTCTGCAGCAGCATCGGGACCTTCGCAAGTCATTGTTCGCAGCCACTCCATATCACACCCAAATTCGTCATATCGACCTTCTACAGAACCCCCTCACAGAACACGAAGCACGGCTACTAGACCTTCACGGTCCTCTTTTTCTCATAACAGATCCAACTCCAGGCCACTCTCCTACGATCGGCCCCCCACTTCCAATCCAGTTAGCCATATTAGCGTTGCACGCCCATCTACATCTCGCAGAAGCTCTTCCAGAGATCGCTCGATAGACGCTACGCATCAATATCGGGCTGAGACTTCACGGTCCCATCGCCGAGTCCCCTCTAGACCTACGCACGGTCGGGAGTGCGTCGACATGGCGAGCCCTCTAACCCCTGTGAATGCTGTAAATCCCGCAATTGCTCCTGCGGCGGTTGATAGCCAGTCTTACGCAAATGGGACACAGCAACGCGCTACTAGTGGTGCCTCGCAGACGGTGCCGCAGTCAAAGCGACGTACTACTATCACTACCTCAAGTGGACAATGGGCACTTGGGAAGACCATCGGCGCTGGGAGTATGGGCAAGGTAAAACTTGCGAAAAATCTTGAGACGGGTGAACAGGTGTGTAGATAATCCAGACAGAGACATGTTAGCCATCCTTTCCTCAGATACAGCGCTAACACTCCATTTGTCCTACCACCCAGGTGGCTGTGAAGATTGTACCTCGGCATTCGAGCGAAGAACATCGTGGTAACCGCGACGCAGAAAGAGCAGACCGCTCTAAAGAGATACGGACCGCAAGAGAGTCAGCAATTGTCACCCTCCTAAACCACCCTTATATATGTGGAATGCGAGATGTCGTGCGGACAAATTACCATTGGTATATGTTGTTTGAATACGTGAACGGAGGACAGATGCTTGACTATATTATTTCCCATGGAAAATTAAAAGAAAAGCAAGCCCGGAAGTTTGCAAGACAGATCGCAAGTGCGCTTGACTACTGTCACAGAAACAGTATTGTCCATCGAGATCTCAAAATTGAAAATATTTTGATTAGCAAGACTGGGGACATTAAAATAATTGATTTTGGGCTTAGCAACCTCTATTCTCCTAAAAGCCAGCTAAAAACTTTCTGTGGCAGCTTGTATTTTGCAGCACCCGAACTGCTACAAGCACGGCAGTATGTCGGCCCGGAGGTGGATGTTTGGAGTTTCGGCATTGTCCTTTATGTCTTAGTCTGTGGGAAGGTTCCTTTTGATGATCAAAGTATGCCTCAGCTCCATGCAAAAATCAAAAAGGGGGTTGTGGAATATCCCCAGGGGCTTTCTTCAGGTTTGTATTCCACACATATGTCTCTCCGTACCGCTCTGTGATAACTAATTTCGGCCTAGACTGTCGACACATAATATCACGAATGCTAGTTACCGACCCTAAACAACGGGCTAGTTTGAATGAGATTATTAACCACCCGTGGATGACAAAAGGCTTTAGTGGCCCTCCTGATAATTATATGCCGCATCGTGAACCTCTCCAGCTTCCACTCGACCCTGAGGTTATTCAAAAAATGACTGGATTTGATTTCGGCCCTTCTGAATTTATCACCGCTCAGTTGACCAAGGTTCTCGAATCTGAAGATTACCAGAATGCTGTGAGATTAAGCCAAAGAGAACATGCTGCTCCTAACCCGTCAAATGAGAAAAAGAGAGGGGTTTTCGACTTTTATAAACGTCGTAACTCTGCAAGTAAAGACACACTTTCTAGCCCATCTGTTGAGGCCGTGCAGCCAATTGGTGACGTTCTCACTGGCTACAATCCTTTGATCTCTGTCTATAATCTTGTGCGGGAGAAACGAGACAGAGAGACACCCGAGGAACGCCCGGCCGCACTGGGCGTACCTCACTCTACCCCTGCAGAGCCCGCACTGAAAATGCCTGAAATCCCAGCTCCAGAGGCCGCCCATACTAATAAACACGCTTATGAGATACCTGGCGAGAAGGAAGCTGGCGGAAGAACACGGCCAAGAGCACTAACCCATGGCGAGGATGAGGTTAGGGACAGAATCAAGACTCTCAATATAGGACAGCCAGCTGAGACGGGACACCCTTCCATTGTCACCACACCTGTTGAGCACATAAAGAAAGAAAGTGCCGCCGTTGGCTTATTAAGACGATTTAGCACCAGAAGAACACGGGATAAGCCACGAGATGCCGAACGTGAAAAGGGTGCAATCGCCCAGGGACCCACCTTGAATGTCCAGCCTCCAGAGGACCTTACTGCTCCTCGAAAGAGTTTCAATGTAAGAAGGGTGAGGCACGAAAATACCTCCCCCGGAACGCTTCAATCTGGAGGAAGTCAGCCACAACAAGAACTTCTGCGTGCTCCCCGGTCCGGAGAAGTCACCCCGAGAATGAAAAATGTTCTGGGAAGGTCAGCTAGTGTCAATTCTGGTGAAAATCGAGTCCGCAGGAATGGGAGAAGAGCCTTTGTCGATGGTGCTGGTTCTCAGACCATGCAAGACCCACCTTTGACAAGTGGATCTGATCGCTCTAGCTTGAGCGTCTCAAAGTCGCGCCCGCAGCAGAGCGATCAGTCAGGCCAGGATTCGAGGCCTAGCACACGCGTGCAGACTCTGAGGGCAAAATCACTCGGCCATGCCAGACGTGAAAGTATCCAAGCTCGGCGAGCACGCCGAGAAGAAACTCGGGAAGCAAATGTACCTGAGGAGACCGATGCTGACTTGAGTGCCGGAACTGCACTTGAGAACGTTAATACGGGAGAAGACTTCTCGAAGCCTGTTTTCCTTAAAGGCCTGTTCAGCGTTTCTACAACTAGTAGTAAACCTCTACCTTTCATCCGCGCAGATATAATGAGAGTTCTGAAACAGCTTGGGGTTGAATTCACGGAAATTAAAGGTGGATTTAGCTGTCGTCACGCCCCAAGCATCGACCTTAACCGTGTCATGGATGTACGACCGCACAGCCCAGATCGGGAAGGCAAAGTAGGTGGCCATCGCAGGCGAATCAGCTTCGGTGGACTGCGTGGCTACGACAAGGATGAGAACAGGGATGATCCTAGAAACACACATACTTCTAGAACCCAACGGCGCCAACACGGAACCCCCGATCGAAGTTTTATCACTAACTCTGATGGTTCTGACGAGTATATGTCCGCTCGCGATAATGGCGGTGGTGAGCGCGTTGTTGGCGAAACGACCACGAGAGTCCAAAGCGATACCGGTGGCAACCTCGTTCTCAAGTTCGAGATATTGATTGTCAAAGTACCCCTCTTCTCCCTGCATGGCATACAGTTCAAGAAGGTGGCGGGGGGCATGTGGCAATACCGAGAAATGGCGAAAAAGATTCTTGATGCTCTGCGACTATAGGAGTCGTCCTCATCCTTCCTCTTCGTACTGGGACCCTGCGGCGGAAGCAGTAGATTGAATAGATTTTGTATCACCTCTCTGTCCAGCCTCCCCAATATTTTTATATTTTTTACATTTTCAAGTCCATTTCGGCGGTGCGCAATATTTATTATATGATTGCTTTATTTACTTTCGCTCTCCTGTTGATTTAATGTATATTTATATAATTTCAGGTTTATTTTTTTTTTATTTTTTTTTTTATTTTTTGCATTTGAGAATATACCTTGAAATACAAATTATGTTGGTCATGTTGTTATGTGAAAATGCAGCACTATGACCACTAGGTTACCCATAGCAAAAGGCCAAGGTAACCATTTGTTGAATGGTTGTGCTCATAGTATATATATACCGGTGGGTGTGATGGTGTGACCCGTCCAACATAGGCAACGCGGTAAAGGGGGTGGTGCAATATGAGAGGCAGTATGTCTGCTAAAAGCATTTGCATCGTGATTGCAAAATTCAATCAATTGTAGCAATATGAGAGCCAGCAAGCGTACCAGAGGTATTGCATGCATCAATGATTGCAAAATAACCTGACTAAGGAAACAGTTGAAGGTCTCTTTTTAAGGTACTTGAATCCGGTAATTCTGCTTCAAAATCATTTTACCCACTTCGTAGAGAGCACGGAACCAACCACTAGGTTTAAATTTAAAAGCATTTGATGACATTGAAGCACCAAAGGGCTCATACATAATCTGATGAAGGTTGAAAGATTGATTGATTGTAAGTATCTAGCGGGCGTAGCACTGCTTAAAAGTTTTACCGAAGATTTCAATATCAGAGCTTAAAAAGGTCATGAGTCTTTGAATAACTCCATCAGTTTCTAGTGTTTTGAAATAAAATTTTAATATATAATAAATAGAGACAAGCTGCAATCGCTTCGCTTATCCCGCTTGAAAACTCACTGTTTAAATCCCTCAAATGAATATAATGAAATATATAAGCAGCTATATACAACTTGTATCCCCTCGTCTGGCCGCGAGGCACAATTAGCGCTGTTTTTTAGCGTGTACGTTGGTGTATTAAAAACGCGAAATCTACTGGATTATATGATAGATCGGCTGTATTAGCGTGTTTTTTTGTAATCTATGTAATCTATTTGATCTAGCCCTAATTAAGATAGAATGGAACTCCTGCCAACACCGGCTTTTCAGACAGAGAGGAATATTATTACATGCAGCACAACCATATCTTGATCTTGGAGCTCTACCCTTATTCTGCTCTGCTCTCTTTCTTTTATACTGACACCAGGCACAAGCTCGAGGTCCTGGCAGAGAAATTCGATGGTGATTTAGATCTGGGTTTGATCGAGTGGAAGGTAGAGGGCTTGAGAATTCAAGGAGTTGAACATAGAGCTGCTGGCGGAATTGAACATGAGATAGAGTAGTAGAGCCAGAGCCCGCAGCAGCAGGGCCCGGAGCAGCAGTAGCCAATCGATGAAGAATATAAGCATTGACAATTGCATGATCAATAATCCAGTATAGAATTGACAACCACGTGCGATTAGTGGGCATATGAGTCTCATAGGAAGCTCTATACTGATTTGCTAGGTCAATCCCATTCATATTATGATTGTAGTCATTAATAATGGTAGGAATCTCCATAGCTTGTTCATATTTATCACCAAATAGACGTCGAATCTGTGGGCCATTGGTGGAATTGATCCCAGGACGTTTCCGGATACATTCAATGAAGCTGTCTGGCTTATGAACTGTAGACAGTAGTAAAACCACATTATTGTCTTTCCATGCAAGACAGAGGACTTCATTTTGAGGGACAATACACAGAGTATTGAAGGGAATATGAGCGGATAGTCCAGAGTTCTTCAGTTCTTGTAGGAGAGGAGGCAGATTGGCAGGATGGGTGGTTCCACAAGCTCCAATTCCTTGCTTTCAAAGATAATGGAATAGAGCAACAGAGGTGAAGTAGTTGTCCATATAAATTGAGTAGCCAGCAACCTCTTTACTTTTATTCAACTCCATATGCTGCTCAGAGCTCTGCAAGAATACTGGCAGCCGCTCAATCAATTCCACCACAAGAGATCCGAATCACAGTGAGGATGCTCAAAGCATGCTGGCAGCATGTGTCCCTCTTTATACAGCAGCTATACAACTGCTGCCTCCGGCTCTGCCACTTCCCACGAGCCTGGAAACTGGCAGAGGTGGCAATGATACCCAAGGTGGGTAAGAGAGATAGAAGCTCAGTCCGCTCCTGGAGGCCCATTGCCCTGCTTTCAGTAATCTCCAAAGGGCTGGAACGCATCATTGCAAGGCGACTGGCGTACACGGCACTCATTCACGGCATAGTCAGCCCACAGCATGGGGGGGCGCTGCCCAGACGATCTGCAATGGACCTGGTAGCTGCTTTCACTCATGAGGTGGAGGCAGCCTTCGCACAAAACAAAGAAGTGTCCATGGTCACAATGGATGTGCAGGGTGCCTTTGATGCTGTGCTGCGCAGGCGGCTGCTTCAGCGGATGGCGCAGCAGGGGTGGCCACGCGAGCTGCTGCAGCTCGTTGACAGTTTCCTCACTGAACGCAGAGCTCAGGTCCGGCTGGAGGGGACCACCACAGCAGCACATCAGATGCAATGTGGCACGCCACAGGGGTCTCCTTTGTCACCAATACTGTTCCTTCTGTACCTGGCAGAGCTGCTGTGGCAAAACTCGGAGTTGCGCTTTGGCTATGCGGATGATCTGAACATCTGGCGGGCGACCCACTCACTTGACAACAATGCCACCCTTCTCAGACAGGATATACAGAGTATTCTGAGGTGGGGGGAGATAAACAAGGTGGCCTTCGCACCAGAGAAACTTGAGATGATCCATCTTACAAGAAAGCGACACAATGAGGCACCAGCAGTAGTTGTGTCTGAGGACCTCACTGTTCACCCTGTTACTGCCCCAGCTGGACAGGAGCCAGCACTTCGCTGGCTGGGTGTACACTTCGACAGAAGGCTCACCTGGAGACCACATGTCTCCACCCGGGCAAAGAAGGCAAGGGCCGTGGCCCAGCACATCCGGAGTCTGGGAAAGACCAGAGACGGGCCCCCAGCAGACGCTCTGCGGAAGGCGGTCACCACCTGCGTGGTTCCCTCACTGCTCTATGGCACAGAGGCCTGGTACGGCGGCCGCACGCAGCCAGCAAGGCACACGGGCAGGAGTGGGGAGGTTAGCTCCCGCCTGGGATGGCATGTGGGGACAGTTGAGAAGGTGCTTACTATGGCAGCCAGGGGGGTCCTCCCAGTTTTCCGTACAACGCCCATCGCTACCCTATACCGGGATGCTGGGCTCCCATCAGCAATGGTAGCTCTGGAGGAGGCCAAAATGCGATTCGCGACAAGGCTTCAGGTGGTGGATGAGAAGCACCCACTGGCTTCATGGATAGCACCTCCAATGATCACACGAGGAAGAGGGGCTGGAACCCGGCAGCGCTCAAAGACCAAGATCCAGCGGTTGGGGGCGCTGCTACCTGCAGTCAATAGACCCACACTTGCCATCCCACACTACTCAGAGGGATGCGGGACAGACCCCACAGAGGGTGTAGACAAAAAGAGTGCTGCTCAGGCATTCAAGAAATGGTGGAGAAGTCAACCCTCAACAGATCTATATGTTTTCTCAGATGGATCAGAACGGAGCCTTGACAACAGCAGGCAGGTGGGCTATGGCTTCATAGTCTATCAGGGAAATAAACAGCTGGCCAGCTTCTCAGCTGCGCTGAGCCCTATGTCACATGTCTTCGACGCTGAGGCAGTTGGTGCCTGCCGGGCATTAGAGTGCGCTGTGAAGCTCCTACCTTGTGTCACAGAGGACAGCAGCAACCCTCAGATCTGGCTCTGCCTCGACAACACCTCAGTCATCTGGGGCGTACGGGGCAGTGCAGCAGCCTCCTCAAACTGGGCCTACAACCGCTGCCATGAGCTCCTCAGACAGCACAATGTCGGCCTGAAATGGGCTCCTGGGCATATGGGGATAGAGGGCAATGAGGAAGCAGACCGCTTGGCTAAGCGGGCAGTCTCATCCACTGCAGCCCCAGCCTATGGTCTCGAGGCCACACCCACAGTCAGTGGGGTCCGCACAGTGGCCAAGCAGCTCAGCCAAGAGGCAAGGCGAAAGTGGTGGAGTGGAGCCTGTGGCAAGCTCTCTGACTGGTACCGGGGCTGGAGTTTCAGCAGGCCGACTGTGGAATACCAAGTGAAGGCCCCTCCGGAGCTCACCATGCCACGGCATGCCCTTCACCGCTGGCTCGCACTCCGCTCCTCTCATGGGGACTTCTCCTGGTACCACAGGCGTTTCCAGCATGCAGATGCGAGGCTCACCTGTGTCTGTGGACACAACAAGAGCCCAGAACATTTGGTGCTCTGTCGACACTCACAGAGGCACTTTCTTCACTGGCCCAAGAGGCCAGCAGCACGGCCACACAACCGGGCGACAGCTGTTGCCTATCTAAGGTCTCTGACCCCTACAGACTTTGTAGAACTGCTGGACTGCACGCAGTTCTACACACGGTACTGCACAAGGTAACGCAGCCGGCTGGCTGCAAACCATCTGACAACCCCCGCAGCAGTTCCACGAGGCCGGCCTGCTGAGTACACCCACGGTAGCTAGTGCAACTGCCAGGGACATCACAGTCTATGCAGACAGTACAGATAGCACAACTAGGCTCATCTGTCTCAATTAGATGGGGTGTAATCAGTACAGTCTACGTGTCTGACTCACCTGCATGGGTTTTGACTGCCGGCATTGTATCTACGCGTGCT